AATCCCTGACTGCGTTTGATTCCGCGGAGGGTCCTCTCAAGTGAGAGACAGTCCTTCAATGGAGTGCACAATCCATTTTCAATGTATAATGAACTCACAGCTGCAAGATAGACTTCGATGGACGATGCTTTAGTTGATCGAGATAAATGAGTCACGTAGAGCATGAGCGTTTCCTCCTCTGCTGGTAATGCGGAGCTGTTGGGATTCCCACGTTGCGACCAATAGCAAAACTTTAGGAAGCGACGTTGAACTGAATGGTAGCTGCACCGAGTGGCTTGGGAAATCCCCTGAAACATCATCGATTGAGCCCGCTGCCTCAAGTCATTGAGCTTAGTCGCATTAGCAACGACAAAGACGATCGATTTGAGTGCGGATTTGGGATGAGTGTAAACCAGTAAATGGAAGGCCGAAATGCAGTATTTTTTGGGTGCAGTATGAACAGGTAGTTTGGGTTTGGGTTGAAACATTTTTGCACAGTTATCAAATACGTGACAGGGAAATGAATTGGAAATAAATAATCCGAGTGCTTTTTCGATTTCAGTGTGGAAGTTTTCACGAGTGGAGCAAATATTAAAAAAGCGATGAACTAAACATAATATTATACTACGTTTACATGTTAGTGGGATGAAGCTGTGGAAAGTAGTAGAAAGACCAGTGAACGTAGGTTTTCTGTATATCGACGTGAATATCTTTCCATTAGAGCGATGAATAGTGATGTCAAGAAATGGAAATTTTCCATTATGTTTGATTTCACTCCTAAACTTAATATTGGGGTGTTTGTGGTTTAAATAGGTGAGAAAGGGTTGCACATGGTCAGAAGTACGAAAAAGAAGAAAACAGTCATTCACGTATCTTCTATAAAGCAAGTGTCTAAAGCGAGAGGGACAATTTTTGAGCAATGTTTCTTCATGGAATGACAGGAATATGTTAGCGAAAAAGGGTCCTAAGGGGCTGCCCATAGCAACGCTATCAACTTTGTGGTATAGATGACCGTTAAATAAAAAATGACATTTCTTAACTGCGAGGTTTAGGAGATTAGTGAAGTTGGAGGGACTGAAACTTTGAAAAGAATTATATTGGGCAAGCAAATGGTTAGTAATTATTTCAATGTTTTCATCAACGGGGATGTTATTAAAGAGTGTATAGATTTCAAAATTGGCCATTACAACAGTGTCAGTGTTGATGTTCAAGGATAAAATTTCCTGGATAAAAGAAAAGGAATCTTTGATCATGAAAGAATTGGATGAGATTGGGGTGAGAATGGGGATAAAAAATTTAGCTATCTTATACGAGTAATGATTTATACATGATAGGATAGGCATTAGTGGTATGTTGGTTTTATGTACTATGGGTAGTCCATAGAGATTACCTATACGTGAACTTATTGGGTAGAGTTTGTCGTATGTTCTTTGATCACTTGATTTAGATGCTTTAAGGTTTTCAGGAGAGTCTTTACTTGGTTTTTACGTTGTAGGGTCAATTTGACGGGGTCTTGATTTAAGCGCACAAACTTTGAGTCGTCGGTTAAAATTGCCTTGCCTTTTTTGATAAGGATTCCATTTGAGCGGAAATCAAAAGCTGTTCATTGCCAAACCTATCATTCAATATCTCAATAGCTTCATTATACTTTTCAGCCCTCAATATCAGTCTCATGCAGTTACTCCGGATATTGCAGTGTAAGTCCCTCTAACGCATCCCTTAAGATAATGGAATTCAACAATCTTGCTAATGAAACTATTGTTGTGAATGGAGGTTTGATCTCGATATTGCATTTTAATGGAGACCCTCTTTGCATTGCTAGATGATCTCTATTAAAATCTCGCATCGGTATTTTGGCAATTTGCATTGAGCAAGTTGCCTATAATTGTAAGTGATACTCAACATAATCCCTCCGAAAGGTTACCGATCTGCAAGGTGTCGTATGTTCAGCAAATTTTTCAGTCTTAAGTCAACTTCAGCTAAAACCCTGTATTAATATACAGGGTTCTAGGCTTTTTATATGCTCTACAACTGCAGCTTCAATTTGTTCAGGTTTAATAATTAAAAGAATTTAATTAGGGACATTTAAGTAATGTTCTATAATCGCGATCACCGAATTCTTTCAACCCAATAATTTAATTTCTTGCAATCTTTTAAAGAAACATAATTCCTCAAATCATTCAAAAGCGCACTTAAATAGACTTTCAGACCCGTATATTTACCTCTGACTCTACCAAAAGCATCCATAAATTTATATCCAAGTCACAAACAGTGATTGTGAACACGTACTCATACTAAAATACTTCTATAAAGTATTTAAAAAAAATACACAAAAAAGAACAGTAATCAGACTATATTGCTACCAATTAATGGATTTATCCTACCAAATGAAAAGCAACCACCTCACGTCAATACGCAATGAAAAAGCTAATGTTCCTATACGGACGTCTGCCCATACGTAAGCTTGCTCGCGTTTCCAAGACAATAGCTCCAGTATTCAGTTTCCCCTACTGGACTGCATACAAAAAACAGTACTAGACTTGCTTTTCATGAATGTTTTATTATAACTCTAGGGTCCACATACACAGAATCAAAGGACACTTTAGTATAAACAGTAACCAACTGTGACCAAGACCATGTTCTCTAGTACTTAGCTTCTACCTTATTTATGGATTACACCCACATGATCATTAGCCAATCATTTAACGTAATTATTGCAAACTATTTAAATTAATTAATTAATTTCTACAAGTATGTTTTTCTATAGTATCATGTATACATTTTTTGGGTGGGTGATTTTAAAAATACTTGAAATTTTCATATTTATTCTTCCAAAATCCCAATGTTTAATAGCTAATTTTAAAGCTATTTGTCGAAGAGAATAAGTTTGTGCATTTTGTTTTTTTATGTAGTACCAGTCTCACAGACATTCTTGGTGACCTCTTTGCCCGTGAAATACAACCTTACTTTGCAGAGCATGTCATGATGCGACATTGTGACAATTGTGGAAGCTGTTTTTTTCAATTGTGGTTTTGACGAATGTCACACATCATGTAGCCAAAATTTGTTCCAACAATGACCACATTTTCCACAGATGTAATTGACACTATGATCTAGATCAGATAAACTTATTAACAATCATAACTCACTAACGTATAGAACTCACAAGGCCCCAAACAAACCAAGCTATCTTGTATCTTATGATTTTAAAGACTTGCCCATTTGAAATCGTCGTTTTTGCTTCTGATAAGAATGTGGATAGTTGAATAAACGTAAGTTTTACCAATGGCGTAGCCAGCCCGTAAATTTTGATACTGCTATGTAATCTTTAGGTAACTAACATTATTCATTTCTTTAGAAATCTTTTGTTTTTACATTGAGTGAACACAAAAAAATTAACATGTCAGGACTAAATTTGCAGTCTGGCTACGCCACACTAATATTGTCTAGGATCATCAATTCTACATTTTGAATTAATTTTGAGAGTAAAAGACCTTTTTCTTATTTAGGACAAGCTTGTGTATTATATAGGTTTGTTCACTTCTCTGAATATCCTACTCTAATTTCACAGTGTTGTAAGTCAAAAACCGAAAGTTTTGATCCTAAGTATTCTTCGCATTCCTCTAAAGTAATAATAAGAAAATCGTTTAGAAAAGCGCAAAAGGCAAAGTTTTGCCAAAACTGTTACTCTGTAATACAAATCTAAATAAATGTGTATCTCAAACTTCGTCATGGCCTGATTTCCTCCCGGCTTCATGAAATTTTGTTTTAGGTGTGTTACCCAATCTATTTCTGATCATGCGCAATTAATAAATACGACAAGTTTTTTTAAAATAAACATGTTTTTACATCTCATTAATAAAACTAACCCTATCTTCACATTAACAAAATCAACCCTAATCTTAACGTTCAATACACTCATCGTTAATTGTAACCACTATTTCATTGTAATATTTATCAACGCATAATCGTACAAATTGTATCACTGTATCATATTACTCTTATATATATTTATCCCATACACAATGCTCATTATTATACTGAAGATGGCATCATCAGATGTTGAAACATGTTTATTTTATAAGAACTTGTCGTATTTATTAAATGCGAATTATCAATTGTGCTGTTACGCAGTTACGGTGATATTCCAGATCAGTGGTCATCGCCCAACTCCACTCAGCCGCTTCCGGTGTCACAGAACTCAATAATAATAAGGAAGCCATAAGTTGTATTTTTGGAGTGAAGTTAGCGACGATCAAAACTATACAACGTCTCATTAAACGGTAAGGTTTTGCCATATGGTTCTAGTATTGTTTTACCCGTAGTTATTAGGATAGCACGAACTGTAATGATAAGGATAGCATATTGAAAATTTATACTTTGTAGTATATTAAAATGTGCTAGATACGCAAGTAAAGTACGTTTAAACTTTAGCAAAATATGTAATAAATTAGCCGATTGAATATTTGCCACAGGTTTTTGAAATGCATGTGATTAGAAACAAAGTGTAGATTTTATAGGTCTATGATATTTTTCGGTGTGAAATCAAGCATGCTATTGCCCAACGTTTACGATTGATTGTATTTGTGAGAATGCAACATCATCATCTTTGTAGTATAATGGAACTCGGATGAATCCAATTAAAAACAGCATTTCTGTTTGAACGTTACAACTTTTATATTTTGTCGATATATCCAGGAATCCAACATAAAATAAGTTAAATAACATAGTAATAATGTTGCTTTGTAAATTGAGGATATTTACTGCTTTGTCATTCGATCTCATGACTGGTGAGATATTATTTAACGAGCTAATATATTGCTGGCTCATATAACACACTAAGGTATACTTGCTACGTGCTTTACTAAATATTTACGTTTAATAAAACACACCATCAAAAATATATTTGGGAATTCCCTAGATCCCAGCAGGAGTTTCATGTTTCCACTTTTACTCGCAATCTCTTAAACAAAATGCCAATAAAAGAAGCAATAATGGACTTTTATTCTCTTGCAGACTTTGTCAGCAGTATGTGGCTGTACTTACTACTTGTCTGGTCAAGTCAAGCTGTCAGCAGACTAAGCAGTGCGATTTACCTTGATTCTGGCTTTAACACTGAGCCTAATGAAACAAAAGGTAAAAGGAATCGCAACCGCTTGTCAATTATTGAAACTGGCTGCCAGTTTAACTGGACAAACCGCAACGAAATGGTCATGAAAGTTCGTGACCGAATGAAAACCGAAACAAACTATTCCTGCGCTTTAAGGTGCCCGTTTTTTACCTTAATTCAAACTTGACATGGCAGAACACAAGCAATGTTGTTGAAACCTGGGTATGGGTCCCGGCCTCACACGAGTACATGCTCTACTTTCCGCACAATTTTAACGTTCTTTCGCTTGGAACCATGGGAATTATCACTAAGAACTTTGGGAAACCAGGAGGAGAAGGAAACATCCTTGGTTCATGCAATAACGACTGCATCACAAAAGAACAAATATCTACGAATTCAACTTCGCGTTGTTCATTAACAAAAAAGGATCTTATAAATTTTATGTCTGAGGTAATTGATGACAAGAAAGAGTGGAATTATGTTTGCTTACAACTTGATTACCTAGGTGCAGACGTGGTAAGCGATCCAAACTCGGCTGTACCTGATTTACTGTACTACTTTATATTTCTAAGAAAGCTTTTTTCAAGGAGGCCTTATTTCGGCAAAGGTATGACGAAAGATGATTTTATCAACTATAACTGTTTTGAGAAGGATGGAGGTTTGGAAATAAAAGAACTACATATGAATTACTTTGTGATATTTGTTACAGCAGTAATCTTGTGGTTATATACTCCCCTTCTAATTCATTACTTTCCAAGTTCCGAAATTACTGTGAAAAATTATCCCGCGAATTTAAACCACGCGATGTTCCATTCCACTCACAAAAGCCCAGTGCACTTCACGAGTTTACTGCGTTGTATGTTGTGTTTCTACATGAAGGAAAACAAGGCTATCAAATCCCGCATTCGTCGTTTTTTGTTTGTCGGTTGTTTATTAGGACTTTCGATTCGCTTTGTCTACACAGCATATTGGAACGTATCTGCTTTTTTCGGAGTTCTCATTATTTTCTTTGGGGCAATTTCTCCAGATTTTGGAGCGTTCACCTCAGTAACGAGCATCCGACTCATTTTCTAGACCTATGGGAATACCCAGAAGGAGTTTTTCGCCGAAATACGCAAAAAAAGGAGTACCAGTTCCTGGCTCACTGCATGAGCGAACGTATTTACTTGTTCTGCGATATTCGGTTTTGGAAAATGTTATATAATCGTTGCTTTAGGTTCTTTCACAATACAATCTTCTGGTATAGCAATCAAACAGAGTTTCCTTTGTGTTCTTTAAAACTGGTGCATTCCCTTACTACAACCATATTTATCATTTTGCTGCATTGTTTTACCATTTGACACCGGCGTTATATTTTTACAAGCAGCTTTTTGTAGTCATTTTCAAAGCAACGAAGCAAAATCTTCCGAAAGCTGAAAGTTTATTTTTTAGTTTCATCATCATTTCTTATTTCATGGCAGTAATGATGTTTATTTGTTATTTTGTTGCCGAGGTCACCATGTTTACATACATCGGCGCAGTCTTGGAGCCATCCATGGCATTTAAGTATCTCACACTGACCAGCGCCATTGCACTTCTGTTATATAGGCTTGTCAAAGATTTGCAGGATGGTTATGAAAAGTTACGTGATGAGATAGTTAAAATACTAAATAATGCTAAAGGTCGCTCTCAATTAAATATTCTATGCAGGTCGTATGGCGAAGACTGCACTTTCGATCATGAAGACGGTGAAAACGGCAGATTTAGTATTCTATTAAAGATCAAGCATGAGCCTTCGACACTTATTCTCTATCATGATTATTTTGGGACATACTTGTTACGAGGTTTACTTGATTTTTGCATTGAAAAATGTGACCCACTTCGGAGGCAAGTTTTAATGGTTATTGTCAAATTGCTGCTGACAGCTTTCTACATTGGTATTGCAATGTGGATCAAAAATGTTTTCCACAAGGAAAAAGACGTGTCTTCCATCTTCACTGCAGCACAGGAATTGCCATTACATTTGTACCAAATCTCTTTGAATTTGCAGCTCACAAGAGCCATCTTGGAAAAAAAGATGACGTTGTTTTTTCCCGGAGAGTTCACGACGCAATTGCACAGTACGTTGCAAAGTAACATTTTAAGACTAACATCCTTCGTAGGTTGTCCAAAATAATGTCTAGATTCATTATTTGATTTGTCGCAATAGTAGTATTTAGTAATGTAATTTGATATGGTTATCTCGCGTCAATGACTTTGTCTTCAATAATAAAATTGCGTTGTTGCAAGCGTTCGTTTCTTAGACTTACTGTTTAGCTATTGTTTAAAACAGGTCAAGATAGGCAGACTGCCAAACTTAAAAGCTTTTCATTTGCCATGCTAAATAACGTTTATGAAACGGTACATTATTCTTGGATTTCTTGTTAACTATAAGCGATCTCTGCTTTCCTGATGAACAACAATAGTTCTTTGTCTTTGTAGCCAAAAGATCATTTATCATTGTCCAATAAATATGGCCTCTAAAGCCACCAAGTCTTATCACGTTTTAGACCTTGTTTGTAGTTATGGCAAATCCTTTGGTCTATTTGCTGCCTTGAATCACGGAATATTTGATTACTTAGAGAAAAACGATAACGGAAAAACAGCTCAGCAGACAGCCTATGACCTTTGTCTTGATGAAGTCGCAGCGACTATCTTGCTTGATAGCTGTACAAGTTTTAATCTTTTGGTAAAAGAAATACCTGACGGAAAAATGGAAAAGGCTATTTACCGGAACGCCAAGGAAACCAAGCGACATCTTTTACCTCAAAGTCCTGAATCACTTTATCATTTCGCCATATTTCAATCGCGAGTAATGAGCAAATTGTCGGCGAATTTTGGACATGCATTGAAAGATGGTAAAAGTCAATGGCAGCGTACATTTGGTATGAAATCGGAAGAAGCCTTCAACAATATATTTAAAAAAGGGAAAGTGTGGTTGAATTTGTAGAAGCAATGAAAAATCGTATACAAATGTGCACAAGCTTGTTGCTTGGAACTTTCGATCTCTCTGGATTCTCTCATCTTTGCGATCTTGGTGGTGAGGGTTTGAATTTGTTTCACGCTTCCTCGTTTAGTTAATGAATATATCTTGTTTATTTAAAGGTGCTAGTGGTGCGTTATCATATGCAGCCGTGACAGAATTCCCTGGAATGAAGTCAACCATTTTGACTTAAAACCTGTTGTTGATGTTGCTAATCATTTCAGACCTTCTTTTGAAGAATGTCCTTACCGGGATAATGTTTCTTTCGTAGCTGGAGACTTTTTTGAAGATGATTTCCCTCATGCAGATCTCTATAGTATGACCAGTACACTTCAAGACTGGGATGAGGAAAAAATTGATCTTCTTTTAAGCAAAACATTTCATAGTCTCCAGTCAGGTAATTTCTAGCCATTTTTATGCTACAGGTTCTGCGTGAGTCATCGCAAATTTTTAGTAAGAAAGGTGATCGGCATTTAAAGTTTTTTTGTATAGCCAGTGCTATCCCAATCAAAGGCAAAACATATATATTGCTAATTCAATATATGCTATAATAAATTCTTTTGAAAGCAATTTCAATTTTTAAAAAATTCAGCTGGGGCGAGCAGAATATAAAGTTTAATAATAATCACAAATCCATAAAAGTGACTCCTCAATTGGTGTATAACAATAAATGAATAAAACAAAGTTAATTCATATTTATTATCTACGTGTAAGTAATCACTGTTCAAGTAAACAGTTTGTAAACATAGCTGGCTGTATAAGATCCATTCATATCTTTGCTGCTTCACCAGCTAAAGTTCTGCGCATTGCGGCCTAGTAGTGGAGATTCAGTATGGTAGGTGCAGCTATTTATATTGTTGGTAGATATTTTCTTAGCTTTTTATTACACAGTTTGAGTGTGCTGAAACAGTTTTGTAACCGGTTTTTTAGGCTGAGAAAGTTAGAGTAGACCCCCTTCGTATAATAATTATTTAATTATTATTTTCAAATCTTATTAAAGTGCATGAAAAATTAAACGCATTAAGTATATCATTTATAAGTATATAGTTTATTACTGTTAGGTATTAGCAAATTAACTCCTCAATAAGAAGGAGAAAAACAAGACTGAAGTACTTGTTATAACTGTGGGTAAATATGTAAAATGAGACAATAGTAACGATCTGTGCAAAAAGATTTCATAGTAATGAGATGAGCTTGTGATAGTTTGTGACAGGAGACGTGTTAAGTGAAATAGACAATGGGTTTTTTGTTCAATTATGCGGTGTGATGGCAATCGCATGAACATTGAAAAGATATTCAAATTACAAAGGAGACATTATGGAGTAATTACGTTTCTGGATAAAGCTATAAAATTGTATCAAAGGACTTGTTAACAATATTAAAGTAGGAACATATTAAGCAAATTCTAAATAAACACGACATAATTCAACGCATTAAAACATGATCTTTAAGAATATATGTCAGATCTGTTAAGAATTTATTGCAATGAGAATCCACTTAGAAGTAACAATTCTAAACCTCATCTGGTAAAAGTAAAAATAAATTTATGCGGAAATATTTTTTATACATGGATCTTTCTCGTGAACAATGTCCAAAATTGCAGAGAACTCTCTGCAGAAAAGTTTAAAATATTACTATTTATTATTCTTGTATACACTGATTTTCGAATTCTTAACGAAACCCATTCCCTTGACATTATAAATCTATATCTTACATATTAAGAGTGACTCAAACAGCTAAAATATTTATTTTTAGCATTAAAACTAGGTGCAATACCTAAAGTATGATAGAAAAAATTTTCAATTTGGTCAAATTGTATTCTCGTTGTAGTAATTTTAAGTTACCTTTCAGTGGACTTTAATTGTCCGTCGTGGCATGAAGTCCGGACCAAGCCAAATAAAGAAATCATTCACGGTAGATGGTATATATATCTTGTAGCTATTGAGAAATCCCTTGCATGATGTCACAAAAGTAAGTCTTTCTCGGCAAAGGATAAGGTGCATTAAAAGGAGCACTTTTGCGAACTTTAACCAGCCATAAAAGTGCAATGATTTGACTAACTTAAAGCTTTTTAGACTGATACATTAGAAATCACACCTAAATTCAATATCGTCACTAATGGCTTTTCGCGAAATGAGCTCTTGAACGGATCTGTAAGATTAGATGCAGTAATTATTGTATATTCATATAGACAAATACTGTGTAGTTGCATCAGGTATAAATAATAGTTCATATATCTTTATCTTCAGGGAACTAACACTGAAACAAGTTATGTGAACAGTAAAAAATGTTAGTGTAGTCAAAAGTAAATGTTAGTGGCCATGACTTAACTAAAGATGAACAATATAATAGCTGCTTATTTAGCGTACCATAAAAATTTGACGCCTTTTTACAAAACTTCATAAAGAAGTTTTAGTGAAAGACCCGTTCCTTTAGCAAAAACGACAAAGTTAATAATAACAGTAATGATGTATGCTGTTAAAACGAAATTATTGATAATTATTAAAACTCAAAATCAAAACACAATCTGACCGTTAAGATTCAATCAAGGAAATAAAAGGAGAAAACATTAGCAAATATACATGCGAGTAAGAAAGCTCAAAACAATACTCTTTGCTTTCGTTCGTACGTCCGACTATCACCAAGGATTGCGGACGACAGAACCTGAGTCAGTCAAACACTTTTTCAACAGTTTAGTGCTTATTCATGCATGTGCTGCACCTATTCACAACAACTAAAAATCTCTTAAAATTTGCAACAAACCTTCCCCCCGTCCCCCCCCCCAAAAATTAGAAAATTTAAAAGTTTATCGGTGACATTTCATGGACTGGGAAAGGGACCTATTTATAATCAGGGTAAACAGAGAGCTCTTTATAATCAAAACAACTTGCAAAAAACTCAAAACAAAAATGCCTGCTAAAATTCTGTGAAAACAATGTTGCTGTCGTCATTCTATTTTAGCGATTCTAGAAATAATTGGTTGATTCCCTTTATGATACGTCAATGACATAGATGATATACAAAAAACCAGAACAATTTAATGTAAGTTATTACACGTAGCGAAATACTCAGGTTTTTCCAAAAGAGTGAATGGCTCAAATTTACCTAAACATGAAAATTTCAAAACTAACGAACGTAATGTTTTTAATTCAAGGTGGAGGTATTTTGCTCGGGGAAGTTATTCTTGATGACGACAAACGTGGACCGGCGCAGAGTCTGTCATTCAGTATGTCCATGTTTACAGCTTGCACGAAATCGCGCATGAGGTCTGGAAAAGAATTTGAGCAACTACTTCAAAAGCATGGCTTTGTACAAATTCAATATCGTCAAAATGAAGTGCCCTTTCTTGTTGGAGTTGTCTTTGCAAGGAAACCGTAAACTTACTACATTTCGGAGAAATATCTTCAAAAAATGAGCTAAATCTCACAAAGTTTCATATAAGGTTTTCTTTTCACCTTAAAACAATCTAGCTAAAAACGTTTCATGTCTTTCCAAGACCTTTTTTGATTTGAGAAGTAAAGAGGAAAGACACCAAAAACGGCTTCTCATATTATGCAACTGTGAAGAAGACTTCAGGGAAGAGAAATGGAATGTTCTATGTGACAATGAAATTAGCATAATATGCTACTTGCATTCTTGTTCTTAAATTAAATTATAGCTGCTTGAATTATGCCGGTTTTCAAATTTTATGCTAGTCAGTTTTTTAAAATTATGCTAGTGAAAAACACGATGAGAAGTTAAAAATAGACGACTTTTGTTGAAGAAAAATTTATATTATTCCAACAAACATATAATTCTTATCTTCCAATTTAACACAACTTATATTCTTATGGCTCATTGTGACAATTTATTTTTAATAACGATTTGATGGTACTGTTCATCAAGACTCTTCCCGTGAAAAAACTCTCAGCAGCAGACGATTTCGGTTGAAACAATGCAGAAAAGCAACTGAGAAGATATTCTGCATGATATTTCACCTTTCTATTTTTAAGATTTTTTCCCGAGAGGGGGTCGCCATCTTGAATTTTCAATAAGATTGTGGAGGGGGATTAATCAACTTGATAGCCTAGTTCTCAGAATCTGTCATAACGATTCATAGATTAATAGATTAAAGATTTTTAAAACCGTCAACTGAATTTACCCAAAACCGTGACACAGCTATCAAATAATACACCTCAAAATGAAGTTGATATCTAAGTCATCAGTCTTGCAAGTTTGTCATGCCCTGTTTTACTTGTGAAGCATATGACCACCATAAAGCTCAATGAAAATCATTCGTCTAATTTGATAACGCTTGGTCTACCGCCGCAAAAAAACTATCAGAAAACGCCGACCCTCCGCATGAGGTCAAAACAAAGCAAGAACCAGTCTGTTTGCCGTAACAAAATATGACATCCATGGGCCATCAAATATGGTTGAACAATTGTATGAAAATACTGAAAACAATGGCAAAGATTTGATCTCAAATGCTGCAACATGTAAAGGTGGAAAAGTTCTTTCATGTTTAAAAAAATCTACCACTAGTTCTTTGTCTTTAGATACATTAAATTTCATTTTGTTTTGGATTATCCAGGCATTTATTTCCTTCAATACGTTTTGTACATTGCTACAGTAACTATGTGGGATGCTTTCGCTATCAGTACAGTCATCAACAAATTTCCGTTGATCCGGCCAACATTCTTAAAAATCGTAGTACCGGACCCAATACTGTTACTTGGTGTTTACTACGGTTGATGGCTAGCCATTCAGAGACGCAATCGTTTAGTTTCACGCGTTGAATTCTTTCAGTTAGGAAGTTTCTTATCCAGTTCTTTATTTTATCTGAGACTCTCATGTTTTCTAAAATTTGTGTTTAGTAAAATTTTGTGGTCGATAAGATCGAAAGTTTTAGAAAAATCTAGTAACAAAACTCGCACTGAATTACCGGTTTTGTCAGTTTCACAAAGCATGTGGTGAATAAAACTGATAAGAGCATGAGAAGGAGAAGAATTAGGAATTGATACAAATTGTTTTAGATAAATGACATCCCATATGGACTCAAAAATTCATTCCGTAACAAAACGTTCACAAACTTTAGATGAAGTTGAATTTAAAGAGATTGGACGGAGTTCTTTTGTTAAATCATTTAGTTTTGGAGTTTTAAGGAGCGGAACTATGTCAGCTTGCTTCCACTTACTTGGTACGTTTGTTGTTTGAATAGACTCGTTGAATATTGAAGCAATTGGGGCAGCGAGGCAGGTGGCTTATACTTTAAAAATCCAGTTTGGTAAATCTTCGGGGCCACAAGATTTGCGGGGGTTTAAACGTACAAGTTTTTTATAAACATCCTCTTACTAATGATATATTTTGAGTCCAGCTCATGCTCTTCATTCACTGGAGTAGGTTGCAAGGGGCAATATGCTGTGTTAAAGTCGAGAAAATATCATTTATGTTATCCCTTAAAGGTTTTCCAGAGTAAATTTCGTTGTTGATAAGGCAGGTAGAAATTTGGGATTTTTTTGTGTGTCCAGTTAAGGCTTTAATAGAATCCCATCACTTTCAAGGATTTGGATTCGGCTTAAGCTGTTCCAGTTTACGTTTAAAATAACAATTTTAACGTTTTACTTTGCTTGTTAACTTGATTGCGTAATCGGTTATACAATGGTATAATTTTCAGATGAAAAGCCTTTTGTCTTTCTTGAATGGTTCTTTTCAAATTGTCTGTTATCCATGATTTATCATTCTTATGGCGTAAGACCGATTTACAAGGCATGTAAGTAGTAAGGCCATATTCTAACGTTACACACAGAATTTTAAGTTTTTCGTCACAAGATGAAGTGTGGTATAAGCTACTGCAATTAGTCTTCGATAACCAGTTTCCAAGGGCATTTTTAGATTATATTTTATATTGTCTGATCCTTACTTTATACGTTTCATTTCTAATGCAAAGTTCCAGTGGTGTAAAAAGTATAGATTTATGGTCACTAAGTCCAATAGGTGATATGACTTTTGGTGTATTATAGAATTTTTTTAAATTTATAATAACTAGGTCGAGAACGTCATCACCTCTTGTAGATTCTTTACAAGCTGGTTAAGATTAAAATTCCGGCATTAGGGTATCTAGCAAGTGCAAAATCCAATTTAGAAGATAAATACTCTATCATGATATTGTTCTTGTTTGTCAGTTGATAGTAAATCACACATACAATAAGGCAAGAAATGCCACGGGGAAGTTTAACAGGGTTTCAAATACAGCCACAATGACTCATGGTAGTCATCCTGAAGGATTTACAGCAACATTGTGCTTCTTTTTCATACAATCTATAGATATGACAAAGCTATAGAATTTTCTGAAAAAGGTTTGCCAATTCAAAAGAATCACTTGGTCCTGGCCGCGTTCAGGTTGGAAAAATTTGCTGCGATCTTGCGTCACTTCTGTATGCTATTGGCAAACGAGAAGCAATATTATAATAATAAGCTTTCAATATTCAAACATAATGATAGTTGCTGACAAAGTCGAAGTCTGCAAAAACGACAGCAATTCTTCTTTCTAGTTCATGCGATGGGAAAACATGCAAGTGCAATGGATTGATGGACTTTATCAAAAAGCAATTTAAGTTGAATTAAACTTCTTGGTTCTAATCATAATATTGTTGAACTTGGTGTATGTCACATTTCTGGAAATTTAACCAATTAACTAGTAAATTTGGAAACAAAGCTTTAAATTTCCACTGTAACTAATATAATTGTATATTTTATAAGCTACTTTTAAATCTTATTCCTTGATTTGTTCACTAATCAATTTTGAAAATTGTCAGTAGATATATTCATTGCTCTTTCAAAATATAAGACGAGTAGTTAATTTTAATAGTTATTTTTGAATAAAATAAATATCATACAATTGATGCTGCCATTCAAACTCTGTCACGTCATAAATGCTACACAACATGATGCTGAATCATTTTTACGAGATCTACAGAAGGAGGTTTAGTTTCTGTATCAATGTTTTTCCTTCACAAAACCTAGCTTTACATCTACGGTGCTTGACCTTCAGTGCGTGCTCCATGGCGCTAAATATAAAATCATTAAGGGTTGTTTAAATCAATATTTACGTTATTGGCATATATCTGTAAGAGAGTTCATGAAATAACCATGCAAATTCTCGCAATCAAAACAGTTCAGCAACTTTCATGCAAAGAAAGCTTGATAAATATAAGAATGTAAAATACACACTTCTCAACTTAGACCACCTTCAACACGACAGAAACAAAAACATAACAAGTAATGATTGCGTCTTAGCCAAGTATATTGACAACATAATCCCTTTTAAAGTTTTAAGCTTGTATTTATCTTCAATCCATCTATTATTCTACGCTTAGTTACAGTGAAACCGGAACATCGATGATTACTTTTGCCTGATTACTTTCTTTCGACATTAACTTTTTTAAGAGCTTTGTTCACAAAACTATAAAATTTTGCTATCACTCCCCACTCCTTCAATTCACAATCTTCGTGCGTCCTAGCTAAGTTAAGTTATGTTATGCACCTAGTAATATGGAACCATTAAAGGAATAAAGGCAAGTTAGGAGTGGTTCGTTAGAAGTTTGTTTTTAAAGAGACCCTATCCGCCAACTTCTTTTTGTGATTGTAAAACTATGGAACGATTTAACTAAATCAATTTTATTGATGCGTTATATCGCAAATAAGAATTTTCGCTGAAATGTGCACTTTAACTTTGTACAAGCAAACATGGCACTCTAAACATGGCAATGCGAAGAAAATGTGACTTTAAAAAACACTAAGTACCATACCAATTGGGCTTGTAGGGTGTTTGAAGTGTAAAAATATTGTCTTCTAATGAAGATAACAATGAAGAACATGAATAATTTGGAAGGAGTGGCTATTGCAAACGCATAAAAATAATCGACTACATACAAAATTGCGACGCATTAGTTAAATTTCTGGTATGTTAATTGATCTTTACTGGAATGGCTACAGAGTCAATGAAATAATAACTTGACAAAAAGTCGTTGTGATGTATCATAGTGGATAATTCAATGCTAAACCTCCATTGATGTCTATTATACTGTATTACGGCGTGAAAGAACAATTAAAATATTTGTAAATAACGAATTTTGCAGTTTTTATAGCTTTTAAAATTGAAACTGGCCAGAATGGTCTCTAAAATTTCTGGAGAGTTTTTATTTTAGAAGCTTTACGTCATAATATATCCATGCATTAAAATGCCGAAGACGTGAGTCTATGGGGTAAGGGGGCATGGTGGGTAGTAACTATTATAAATGAGAGTAGCTATTGTAGTACCTAGTAGTTTGAATTGTACCTGTGTTAATGTGTTCAAAATGTCTCAAAAGTTGATATAAAATATTATGGAGGATTAC